CCCACCCTGCCCCCGTCCCCACCCCGTTGTCCCAGGCCCCACACTCCCTGCTGGGTGAGAAGGCACTATTCACCAGGAGGAAATGGCCCACGGTTCTGCCCACGGGGGAGCCAGGGTTAGGGTCTTGGGTGCCGCCAATGTTCTGCCAGCTCGGAATGCCCAGCGCTGAAGCCCCCACAGCCTCACGTGCCAAAGCAGGGACGGGGTGGCACGGCTCGGGACAAGGCTCTGGTTGCGTTTTGGAAGAGCCACCTTCTCATCAAACACGGACAGCGGAGTGGTTCTCACCCAGCCAGGCCCCCAGGACACAATGGGGCCGCAGGGCAGCCAGGACTCACCGCATTAACCTCTAGAACCCTGCACCATAAACACCCTCGGTGGCCACGTCCTGTGCAGATAGAAACTGCACCGTCAAGCTCTCGCTTCTCACTGTGTCATCGTTGGCGACTAGAGAGCTGTTTCTAATGCATGTAGACTACACAGGGTGGCTCCTGGCGGGGCTGGGTGGGCACACCGCTGCCTGGTACATGTGCACCTCCTGGGGGGCAAGTAAACCGCTTGTACTAAACTGTCTGGACTCAGTGTCTGACTTCCTTGGCTGTGGGGGGAGGGGACTGACGGGTCCCTTCTGGCTGGGTTATGTGGCTGGAGGGCCTCAGGGCAGATTTCAGTGGCAATTTCAGTCTGAGGGTTGACAGACGGGGTGACTGAGTGAACGTCATGGGGCCTCTCGTGTGGCTCCTCGCTACCCTCACACTCAGACCTCGTGTCTGCCCGCCCCTTTCTCCAGCGTTCCCCATAAAGGCCGTTGCTCTTACTGTTGCTGATAGTGAGGAGCATGTGTCGGACACCCGCCAGGCATCACGGACTATCCCAAGTATGTTCATTGCTGATCAGACCTCACAATAACCCATCGGGTCACTCATTTGGCAAATAGGCCAACAGAGGCTCAGAGAGGGTAACTGGGAGCGAGGGCCAACCCAGAAGGCAGCTGGGCGCCTCCGTGCAACGCTGCGGGCATGTCTGTTCGTGGAAGATGTCATTTTATATGTGTGAAACTTTAACATTCCACCAAAAATGGTTACAACTAGGAAATGAAACAGCAGAGTAGCTGCATACAAGGTGAACACACAAAACAGTACTTGCATTTCAACAATGAACGACCTGAAAAGAAACTTGTTTTCATTCTCTTTACAATGGTACATGCACAAAACACTGGGAAGAAGGAAAGGGGGGGGACGGCAGAGAACTGTGGACTGGCCCGGGGATGATGGGGGCCAGTGGCTGCTCCCAGCAAACAATCTCAGTGGCCAGTTCTCTGTGATTGGGCGGAGATCTGAGAGAATGCAGTTTTTCTGAACTTCATCCCTGTGCGTACTCCACATTACATGACCTAGGCTGGCTTCCCAGGGTAGACACATCTGCTCCCCATCTCTGAGCCCCAAAAGGAGGAGCCAGGTAAGGCCTATTTCCTGAAGCTGCTGCTCCAATGACTACAGACTGCCCGAGACAAACAGGAAAGTGTGCTCTCCCTGTTCTGAGGCCAGAATGTGACATCAGCGTGTCGGGGGCTGGGGGCCCCTGGCTGCACCCCTTCAATCTTCACGCGGCTCCTCTGCATCCTCCTGTCCTCCCGAGACTTCTAGGCCTCATCACCTGCCCCCGCCCCCCCTGTTCACCTGCCCACTTCAGGCTGATCAGGTGGCCCCGCCCCCTTGTTGAGGCGCCTACTCTGGTATGATCACGTGGCCTTGCCCCCTTGGCAGCTGGCGGAGCTGCCTGGGAGCTGGGCTGAGTTGAGAGGGAAGTGGGCCTGCCAAGGGGTGATGGCTATTTTGCCAGCGAACAGAGCGGCCTTCAGCAGTCGGCAGCAGGCAGGCCTGAGTGAGGGTGGGGGTGGGGAGCCTGTGTAAGTCATTACAATAAACGGAGGAAGGTGGCCACAGCTTGCCTTCCACCTTTCCTCTTTCCCCCTTTTGTACCTTCCCGGCACTTCCCCATCTGCGGAGTAATGTGGGTGCAGAGGGCTCAGCGTCTCAGGTCCGGGGTGGGGCAAGGAGGGTGTCAGTGATCCGTGAGGCAGTCTGCAGGCTCCACTGCAGAGCTGATCTGCTTCTTACTTCCGGATGCTTTGTCTGGGATCGGATTGGCCTCTCACAACACAAAACCACCTCCGTGGGCTTTCAGATGCTCCTCCACCCAGCCCCCAGCACCCCCTGAGCACCCACCCCAAGGGGCTCAGAGAAGCCGGTGGAAGCTTAGAGGCTTGTCTTTGGTTAGTGTGGTTGGGCAAAGTGCCATCTCGTTGGGAACTGTGTTGCCCAGCCCAGTTCAAAGCAGGTGGGTAGTGGTGAAGACATACGTGGAGAAGGTGGGGAGCTGGGAAGGGAGGGAGCCCGACTGATGCACCCTCCATCCCCCAAATGCCTTTCTTCCACCACCACCACCGCTCACTTGCTCACACCATGCTCCCTCCCCGCAATCTGGAATGCTCTCCTTCCCCCTGTAACTCACAACCGTTGTTCACACTCATGTCTTCTAGCCCCAAGTTCCATATGATCTCACTTCATTGCCTTCACCCCAAGAGAAGTGTCACTGGATCCACTCGTTCATTCAGTGGACCCTCAGCGCCTGCTTAGCCCCTCCTCTCCAGCCCCTGCTTTCCGCTGTGGCCGGTTTGGAGCAGACTTAGGATTCTTACACGATGTGGTATGAGGGAGGGCGGGGGAGAGGGGGGCTGGCAGAAGAGGGGAGGCTGGGGTTATAATTCCCACTTAGTGGATGAGGACACCGAACTACTGGGTGGTCAAACGACCTGCCAGATCACAAGCCAATAAATAGCAGAGCCGGGCCTCCCCATCCCGGGCTCAGGACTCCGGGGCACTGCCAACACCTTGGCGTTTGCTCCGGATCCTGCCCAGTGCATGTTTGCAGACTCGGATCAGCGCCTTGGCAAGCCCCTGCACACGTTTATGTTGCCGGTGTTTGCCTAACTTGTTCTATTTCCTCCTAACCCTGCAGACCTCCGGAATAGGGAGCCGAGAGCCGCTGCCCTCCCACCGGTCGGAACGGGAAGGTCACACGCTCCAGTTCGCCTCCGCGCGGCCCCGCGGACCCAGCCCGGCCAGGGTTGCCAGGCAACGGGTAAACTCCGCGGCTGGGAGCCGTTTGAGAGGCGCTGGAGCGGGCACCGCGACTGGGGCACTTCCCCAGCTTCCCGGGGGCAGGAGGAGCGGACCCAGGGTAAGGGCGGGCGGGGGAGGACGTCCGCGGCTGTGGAGGAGAGTGGAGGGTGAAGGCGGGAGGCCCGCCCCCACCCAAGAGAATAACCTCCGATCGGGCAAGGAATTCCTGGTGGGGGCGTCCCTCTGGGGTGGCCCTGCCGAGAGGCGGATGCCGGGAAATAGGCGCTTCTTTAGGGGGTGCCCGCTCCGTTGGTCCTCGCTGCCCTCAATACCTCCGAGTCGCAGGGCCCTGCAAGTTCTAAACGCCTTGCCTCCGTACCCTCCACTCCCGGTCAGCTGGTCCTGAGACCATCTGCCTGCTGGGGGCGGGGCGGGGTGGGGTGGGGAGACCAAAGGGTTTACAGCTGAATGGAGGGGACATACAGCCTGGGCTGGGGTGGCAGGAGGCTGGGCAGGCGCAGAGGAGAGCTCGCTGATGAGAATGGAGGGGAGGGAATGTACAGAGACTGGGCGCCTATGGGTGGCAGGTGCTGTAAATGCACCACTTCAGCTATTCACCGCTTTAGAGCCGGGTCCTGGCTCGGTCCGTCTGGACTTAAGTACCGTGACCTTTGACCAGGTACTTAACCTCTCCCGGCGTCAGTTTCTTCACCTGTAGACTGAGAATTGTGGTAACTGTTTGGGGGGCTGCGGTGGGGGTTCACAGCGCCTGGGACCCAGTGGGTCTTTATAGATTCGGGATCCGAGCCCCTTATCAGGTATGTGATTTGCAAGTACTTTCTTCAAGTCTGTGTCTTGTCTTCGTGCTGTCTTTTGAAGGGCAAAAGTTTTCATTCCTAACGAAGTCCAAGTTATTGTTTTTTTTCTTTTATGGACCATGCTTTTGATGCCGTATTTAAGAAATCTTATCCAAAAAAGCTTATCTTAATCAGGGTCATGATGACTTCCCTCGATGGCAGGGGCCCTCAAACTTTTTAAACAGGGGCCCAGTTCACTGTCCCTCAGACCGTTGGAGGGCCGGACTATAGTTCAAAAAAAAAAACTATGAACAAATTCCTATGCACACTGCACATATCTTATTTTGAAGTAAAAAAAACAAAACGGGAACAAATACAATATTTGTATTTGCATGTGGCCCGCGGGCCGTAGTTTGAGGACCCCTGCTCTATGGTCTCCCACTGTAGTGATAGAGTTTTTGCTCTCTCGTTTATGCCTGTGATCCCTTTTGAGTTCATTGGTGAGTGTGGTGTGAGGTAGGGGTCTGCGATCCTTCTTTTGCAGGTTGAAGGTCCAGTTATCCAGGCACCATTTTCGTGCTCTGCTACCTTGTGAGGTGCGTTGGTAATTTTACCAAAAGTCAGTTGACCGTAAATAGAAAGGTTTTTATTTCTGAGTTCGCAATTTCATCTCATTG